AGTGCAGACCCAATACAACACTGGTTAGGAGGTTCGATTTGGTTCAAGTGGAAGGCTCTAAAAGGATAAGGGGAAGGCCCAAAAAGGACATGGATGGAAGTAGTGAGAAAAGATATGGGGATTTATTATCTTACTAAGGGTATGACCCTTGATAGAGCAGAATAGCAAAATAAGATTTTTGTTGCCGACCCCGAATAGTTGGGATAAAGCTTTGATGATAATGATGATGATGAAGTAGTAGTTTATGGACCCTATTTTCATGGATTCCTTTATATATCAAATCAATAATTAGGCATTGTTTGATCCATCTGCTTGGACAACGACCTTTACTTTCTTGATTAGAAGTTAAAAACTTGGACATTCAAACATATTTCTTTAGAACTTTCAATTAAGAAAGTATGTTGCATGAATCTAAGTTATAAATGATCCAAACGATCCTCAAATAAGTTAGAGATTTATCAAGAACTAAAATAAGTAAATAACAAGCATTGAACTCTAAACTAGTTTAGGCTAGTGCTTTGAAAAAGAGCTATGATCGAATGTATTATAAAATATACCATCTTGTGGTGTATGGGAGCCTTTTTACCCGTTCTTTTTTTAAATTCTTGTATGCTTTTTCATTGAACCAAGCTTCTCTCTATACCCTCTCTCTCTAGCATTCACAAAGCTCTTTGCTAATCTCTCAATCTCCAAGGCCCCTCCTCTCTTAAGGTCTCTTCTCTCTTTGTATGCATCTACCTTTTTGACGTAATCTTCTCCCTCTTACCCAAAATCTTTTCTCTTCATCTTCCCCCTCTCTATCTTCATTTAAATAAACCATCTCATTTTCATGACGCTAACTAAAAAGTGTAGGAAAAAATTCTAGGGCACGAGCTCCGCAATAGTCCCAATCCACCGCCTATGCCTTCATATGACCATGGCACTAGATAAGGGTCATCATCATCATCATCCTCAAAGCCTTTTCCCAACTATTTGGGTTCGGCTGCATGAATCCTGGTCCGTCATTCTGCTCTATCAAGGGCCTTACACCCATGGCACTAGATAAGGGCACTTCACATTTTTGGTGAAGCTTCCAAAGTCGCTACTTGAGGGTTAAGGTGGTCTCTAAGAAGGCTTCGAAGAAGATTAAGGAGGTTTGGGAAGCCATGATGCTAACTTAGATTCAACCATTTTTTCTTTCTTTGAGCTCTACAATCGTCAATTCAGAAGCACAAAGCAAGCTAAAAGCTAGGATTCAATTAAGCAAATGGTGGTCTTTGCATTTTGAAAAATAGGGAGCAAAGGTGGAGATGGAGTTCCTTTCCTCTTGAATGAATTTTTCTCTCACTAAAGTGACACTTTTACTTACTCATTTTTTCTGGTCATCTTTTTCTTGTACTCTCCTGTCTCTCTTTAAAACAAAGGTTTTGAAAGGTTTAGAAAGATGAGAGAATACTGAATTCGGCAGAGTAAGAAGAGAGAGAGAGAGAGAGAGAGAGAGAGAGAAGAGACGAAAGGAC